AGTTTATTTAGCCTTTTTGTCAATACACCTATGTTTTGTAAATTTTAATGTTTACACAAAGAGCTTAGTCTTCTGAGGTCTTGTGAACCTTAATTTCTGTGTTTTAGACTTGCAGATTTCTTTTCATTGAGACCCCTGCTCTCTTCAGGCTGCCTATTCTCTTGTGCCTATTTCAACAATGTGACTGGCAATTTATCACTTCTCCAACTGAGTGATGACTGGTATTTCATGTTGAAGGTTAACACTTACTATCAAATCTTCATTAAAACTGAATTTCAGGATCATTTTTACAAAGGAACATGAATTAAGGCTAAAAAACAGATAGATGGTGAGGAAAACAAGTCAGCAGCATTTTTTTTTTTTTTTTGTAACTGATCTTCCAAGGAAGATCCCCAGAAATATGGCCTGCTGGGTTAGAGCACTGACCCAGTAGGACCTGACCTGTACTTGCTACCTCTATGACCTTGGTAAAATTTCTAATTTTCTGTAGGTTTCTCTCTCTACACTGGCAAACTGGGGATAGTACCAGTACTACTTCCTAATAATATTATTAGGATTTAAAAAGTCAATATTTTGTAAAGATCTTAAAACAGTTTAGTACAAGTAAGTTTCCTAAATATATATTTTAAGTGGAAGTAATGAAAACATTTCTTTTCCTGAGATAACAAATTTCTTAATATTGAAAACAACAAATACTTTTTCTGCATTGATGCTGGATTTCCCATTCTATGTAAAGCAACCACTCCTACGTCTTAGTCATAGAAATCAATTTATGTTGTAGAAGATACATTGCAAAAGGAATGTTTGAGATATAAGACCTTTTATTTCATTTTCTTTGCTTACTAAAAGTAAAGCATTTTAAAATTACTTAATTTGTAGCTCTTGTTGGCTAAAAAGGGGTTGAAGAGATTCATTTCTTAGCTAAGGCTTTTAATTTCGGTAAGATGTGTCATTACAGTCTAAGATCTAGAAGAGATATTAATTGCCGAATGAATATCTTTGTGAGTAGGAATGAGTTGTTTGGTTTAACCATCACTCCTGTTGCTCTTCTTCCTGAGGGCTGTGAATTTTACACTAATTCCATTCAGTCTCTCCCTCCTATGTGCTTTTGTTTTTCTCCCTTTCTACATTTAAGTGTGGCTGGGCTTACATTTTGATTCAGACACTAATAATTTTATTTCACTCTGCTACCAAATATTGTTAATGCCTCTTGTTTGTCTTTTCATTGATTGATTCTTAAAATTTGTCTATCTGCCATTTCACTTCCTACACCATGTAATCCCATATCTTCGGTACAATGTAAGATTTAATTTGTATTTCGCTTCATCACCTCAAACTCTTTAAGGTCTAAACATCAAGTCATCTCTTGTTATTTTATTTTAACTAAAGCAGGTTGCATATTGAGAGAAGACAATCATACTTGACAAAGGACTGGTATCTTGAGTATATCAGATACTTCTACAAACCAGTAAGAAAAAAGAAGCAACTCAACAGAATAGTGAGAGGGCAACATGAAAACACTGAAGACCCATTTCAAAGATGAGGAAATTCGATAGTCTACCGACATGAAAAAATGTTACTTAAGTAAATGCAGTAATAAGCAAGGAAATGCAAAGTAAAACCACCATGAAATGCCACTTCACACTCAACTAATTAGCATATATTAAACCACGACCACTTCAAAGACTGGTGAGAATGTGTATCAGTAAACGGTATTGTGCCTGGTTGGTAAGAGTAAACTTAGATCCGATTACTTTTGAAACAAGTTTGGTGTTACCCAGTAAGATTAAATTTATGCAATCATGTGACCTAATGATTCTACTGCTAGTTATTTATCGTGTGTATTCCAGGAGTCTTTCATAAAATTGTTTCAAATAGCAATGTTTGAAATAGCATTAACACTGGAAGCAACCAAACTATCCATAAATATTTGAATGGATAAATCAATTAAGGTATGTTAATTTAATAGGATACTATATATCTGGAAAATGAGTGCCCTATAGCTACATGAATATGAGTAAATCCCAAACATATGAGCAAATCCCAAACATATTGAGCAAAAAGTGCTAATCACAGGAATTCATACAGTATGATTTCCATTGTGATAGATTGTGTAGAAACTTACACTAAAACTCTCCATTTCTAAGGCTGATTGAGGCAAGTTTGTTTTCTTTTATAATTGATATTTGTTACAAATACTTGTATGTGTGATGTAATGTTTGATTAGTATATAAACAATCTACATGTTCAATTACTATTCCTGGCATTTTAAGAATACTCACTTAATTATTCTTCAGTGCCAAGTAAGCTTTTACAGATAGCTTCTCCCAGGTATAAAATTTAAGAATTCTTGCAGTGGAATAGAAAGTTAAGGTCTCAATTAGACAGGCCTATAGACAATTGAAATCAGGGATATTTTCTTTCCATTTTCCCTTTTTCTCTTCTTCTTTCCCTCCCTGCCTACCTTCCTTTCTTTCTTCCATTCTTTGTTTTTTTGACAAAGTTTTGCTAAGTAGTCCAGGCTGGCCTTGAATTCACTATGTAGCTCTGGCTGACCTCAAACTCTCCATCCTCCTACCTCAGCCTCCACAGTGCTAGAATTACAGGAGGCTACACACCTGTCTCCAAACACCACTTTCCTTATCAAGTAACTCTTTTTAACTTTTCAAATATTTTACAAATCATGATGGCAATGTAATCCTGGAAAATCTCAACTGGACAGAGAAATAGCAAACAGATAATAGGATGTAAGTTTATAGAAAAAAATGTAGATGTAGGGAAATCTTGGACACTCTGAAATCACAGAACTTTTTGCAAGGCCATGGAGGGTTCTTCTGAAATAATTGGATTCTGCCAAATATCAACGTTAGAGGAAGATGGAGAGACCCAGAAACTGTCACAACTTCATGAGATTTTTCCAGTTTCTGCAAGAGCCATCATTGTGAGATAGATGTGACACTAAAAAGAAGGAAAGAAAATATTGGTGTGCTGTTTAAGCTTTTAATGCTACAAACAACTCTATAGTCCTTTCTGAGTTCTTTTCTGACTCCCCTTCTTGCCTTCTGGCACTTAGAGTGAAATTTTCTTTCACCCTATAAATTCTTAAAATCGAGACTGCCAAGAAACATGGGGGTGTTTAAGGACTTGGGGTCTTATAATGGGATGGTTAAGATCAGTCCTGCAGAGTTGAAATTTTGGGGGTTTGCTTTCCCTTATCTGTTACATTTGTAATGGTGATGCTAGAAGAATTGTCATTTCACAGTTACATGCAGAATGGCATGGCATTATAGAAGGAGGGGCATTCTTCCCCATAATAGCAGGGCCACCATCAACAAGCTATTTTAGAGAGGAGGTTCCCCACATTTTTTGGTTTTCACACAATTTGATGAAATTCCATTAAAGGTGTGCAAGTTTAGTGTCAAGCAATAAATCTAAAGGACGTGGGATAATAGGACAAAGGTAAGATTGTTGTCTCTTGTTACTGTTGCAGGAAGTAGATAGAGTTCCCTTATTAAAACTTGCATCACACAGAATATAAAAACAAACAAAAAACCCTACAAAATAAACCAGAAATAATCCTACAAAGAAGTCACAAATATTCCTGATTTAGAACAAATGTCTCAAACATTGATCTTAAAAGATTTTATTGCATGAGTTAAAGTCCTCCAGAAATTATTCCAATTGTCTCTCCCACTTGACCCAAAATCTTAAATAATTTTAGAAATTGTGAATATAATATAGTAAACTTAATTAGATTGTGAGTTCTTTGATTTTTTTGACTTTTTTACCAGTTTGTGAAATTTGTTAAACATTGTTTAGAAGGGCATCAGGAAATAATAGGAATGCAAAGTTCGTTCACCTTTGCCACCAAAGGAAGCGGTAAAGTCAATTTATTATTCATATTTGTTATATTTCTGTTAGAAATAGGTAAAGGAGCTATTCTACTAACAATGATTGGACCCTATTGAAGGCCTCACTGTTTTTCTTTAGATTCATTTAGAAGCAAAAATTTGAAAACGAGAAACTGGGGTAATTTGAAAATAAAACATGGGTCTCAGTTTAATGGAGTCTGGTTTGTTTAAGAATTAAATTAAATTTTCAATAATACACTCAATATTTCATATTTTCTTCTTTCCAGTGTTGAACTGTATTTGTGGAGCAAATGAAGGAAATTCTTGTTTAATAAATGTTACAGAATTGTTCCAGCCCAGTGTTGTAACAGGCCATATTAACAGTGGGTGAGAATCATAAGGAAATGGTACCCGGGGCCAACAGCCAGCACAGTGTGTCAACTAATAATCTAACACACGTGTGCACACTAATACACACAAGTGCAATTATTTTTTTCTAATGATGTATCTCCTAAAGATCACTCATCTAAAATTTTACTTAAGCTTTTTTTAGAGCTCTCAGATCACAATATCTTCAAGGGCTGCTTGTCATTTGGGTTGTAAGTTTGGTTGATTCTTATTCAGTCTATTGATGACATATATTGTTTCCTTTTCTCTCTCACTACATATTCCCCTTCCAACTGACAATGAAGACTGCTGCGTCCACTGTATCCTGGCGTGCTTGTTCTGTGAATTCCTGACCCTCTGCAATATCGTCCTGGGACAAGCTTCCTGTGGCATTTGCACCTCGGAAGTCTGCTGCTGCTGCTGTGGAGATGAGATGGGGGACGACTGTAACTGCCCTTGTGACATGGATTGTGGCATCATGGATGCCTGTTGTGAATCATCGGACTGTTTGGAAATCTGTATGGAGTGCTGTGGAATTTGTTTTCCTTCGTAAATATTTATCTTTTGTTTGTGTTAAAACTGGAGAACGTTTTAAAATTTCTCTTTTAAGAGGGAAGAAAAGCACGTGGTAAGATTCTCTTGAAGTAACTCAGTATTTGCACTGTTAACTCATTTTTAATTATCTCTGAAAGCTTTTTTCTCTCACCAAATCTACATGGTTTAACATGTGAAACTTTAACTAACTAGTTTTTGAAGACTTTTAATAGATTCTAATAACTGAGGGACATTTTGACACACACATATACCCCAAAATGTTAAGTGTCTCCTCCTTTTTCTTGATAGTTCCATTTTTTTCTAACCATTCTCAGGAGCCCTTTGCTCCAAATATTTTTTTCCAGTGGGTGTTTAAATCAGACCACTTATTTTTACATTTATCTGTTAGAGGTTAAAAGTAAGCATTCTTTATTTTAAAGAAAAGTCTTTGGCATCCTGTGTTGATCTCTATACTCTGTCCGCCTGCACCACTTGCTCAGCAGACTTGAGTGCAGATTGTGGATGCTCTGCTGCCCAGGCTGTGAGAAGAATATCATTCCCCTCCCATCCACAGCAGTGTGCAGTGTAGCTGAGGATAGAGACCTAAAAAGAATGAGCCATACTACAATGAATACTGAAGAGAGGATTATAAAAGAGAGAAACACAAAAGGCCAAGGGACCAAACAGATGAGAACTACCAGAATATTGAGGAAGGCTTGAAGAGAATGTGAAATTTGAGGATGCCTTTTAGGATGAGCGATTCATCTGCTACTGGAATGGGCTATTTAGATTTAGGACAAAGTTTTTAGTGGACAGCCTGAGCTGTGTGTGCCTTTAATCAGTTAAAAGAAAAATGCCTTCAGCACACTTTCTTTTTACTTGTAGCAATACAGCTTTTTTTTTTAAAACAAAAAACCTATAAAATTCAAATTAACTAAGAATATTCATTTTCTTACATATAACTTAAATGGTCTGATAACATTTTTGATGAAAACATAATACCTTATTAACATAGCTATGTTTTACAAAGACATTGGAACACTTGGCAAATTCTATTTAAATTAGATTTTTATATTAAATTCTTGGTATTCTGATCTTCACTTATTTAAAGGTTTTCTTTTATTTTAGGAGATATAAGTCTGTTAGAGGCATGGTCTATTTGTTTTGGTTTGTCTCTTATCCAGTGATGTATTTCTTAAGCACAGTTAATTCTAGATGCAAACCAATCCTTCCAAGGCAGGAGGAAACTTACAAGTCCACTACTGTGACCAAATTTGAGTGTTACAATTTTTATGTTAAATTAAACCAATATGGCATGTTATAAAGATCCTTTAGTGTAATGAAATAAGTCAGTAACTAGATACATAGTTACTAAGGAATAGAGACTGTGTGGCTCAAATGAAAGGGAGAATAAATTTTCATGTGTTCTAGAGTTTGATCTTTTCCAAAATTGTACTTTGGTTTAAGTCAATATAAGTCACTGTAGGAGTTTTGAAAGTGTGCCTTGGAATTATTAGTTATTTCAGTTCTTCTGGCTGATAATCAAATTGATAGTAACAACAGCATATTTTTAGGAAGCCTGTAGCAAATCTAGGCTTTTAAGAGAACTGGACTAGTTTTTTTTTTTTTTTTAAAGCCTGAAACATGAGAATGTCACCTATGGATTTCCTTTGAGATGAAACCTAGTTTCTAATCTAATTATATTGTTATTTTTATTTAAGAGCTTTAAAAAAAGAACAAAAAGTTAGCAAACTATTGAATGTCCCTCTTAGTGCTATTTGCACAAACACATACACACACACACACACACAACTTTTAGACAGTTGGGTTTATAAATATAATTTTAGTAAACAATTGTCGTCTTCCTCTTGCAAAGAGTGTTTTTCATTTGTTACATCAGATATAACCAGAATCTCAATATTTCCATATACCAACACTTATTTATATATTAGGTTGTAAACCTAACATCTATTTCTAGGCATATAAAACCTCCTAGAATTGTTAGACCATTTTGAGTTTTATTCTGAAAAATTTTTCAATCAAGTAGTTTGTCTGATATTTAAGTACAACTTACTATTGTTTGGGATTAATATATTAGAACATTTGAAAGAATGTTTCTCTGTAACAGAGAACATTGGTGAATACCAGAATTGTTATTTTCTGTGTGTTAGTGCTTTCCTCAGTTGTCTACTCCAAGCAGTCATTCCATAAAGCATCTTGAATAATTCAAAAGAAAACAACAAAAAAAGAAAAGTAGGAAAATGTGAAAATAGGTTCAATATGTTTTAGAATTTCTGTATGCAAAACGTGTTGTTGAATTATATGACCATAATGGCTAAGTGCTGCAATTTACAATTATATATTTGGTCGCTTTTTAAAATGGGGAAACTTAAATATTTTTAAACTGGACCTGTAATATTCTGAATATTGTAAAATTAAAAATATGACTTCTTTATTGTTATTTAGCCTACTTTCATATCTAATTAATACATTAATCAATTTATATTTGAATGAAAAATAATTTAAAACTTGAAGTTTTTCTTTACCCTGTTACATCCCTTTCTGAAGATTTCCTAATCTTTCCATATGTAAACTACATGAGTTATGCCCATAAGTAAACTGTGGAAGATACAGAATATCTTATTTTACAAATCACATCAAAATGCAGTATTCTTTTAAAAAGTCACAATATGTCAAAATACAAGTTTTGTACTTTTTTAGTAGCTTGATTTCATTTATTTATTTAGGGAATTAAATCTTAACTTATGAAATTATTTTATATATTCTGAAAATGTGTGGCAAGTAAAAATACTGAAACATTTTTAAAGTTAGGTGTTGGATTTTTGAGTGATTATTCAAAAATTAATCATCACAAGATTTTCTGTGCAGTATTTCCAATGGCACAATACTTGAAAATGTTTTAGAGTTAATATTTAAAACAAGACAGTATGACTATTTAGGAGAAGACTATTTAGAAAACTGATTTTTTGTTCTGTTCTTACAGAACAAAATGTATTCATTTTCCTCACCTGGACAGTGTTATCTGAATAATCTTATGCAATAACTTCCCATTCTTTATCCATGTAAACTCTTTCAGTGCCCTAGATTCTAAGCTATAAACATCTAGCATCAGTGCCTAACATAACTAGGGCTGGAGCCCAGGGACTCTGTGGCTTGCCTTCTTGAATGCGAATCAAGTGCTTAGATTTACCCCTCTTCTGAAGGAATAGTTTATTAATTATTTTTCAAATATTCAAGACCCTTTTGCCTCCTCCATTTACTTGTGACTTGTAAACCTATAGGATTACTAAATGTAGTCTGAGATTCAAAGTAAAATTTTATCAAATGCCATTTTTCTCATTTTTTACATTAATGTTTTAGATCATACCAGTTTTAAGTAATGATTAATATATTGATAGAGTTTATTCCACATTTAACATTTATATTTTTATCAAAATTTGGATATTGCAAAGGAGTCCTTTCAACTCTTTCAGCTCCATGCACCTCTATAAGCAATAAACTAAATAAGTGTTTTCTCTGTGCCTTGTTTGGCACTAGAAACCTCAAGGAAGTGTCGAGAATACTCTCAGCTCCAGCAGTGAAGTTGCTTTTGTTTATTTAGCTATTTAAATATCTTAAGAAGATTGAGTTGAAATAGAAGAGGTATGGATAAGAGATAATGTCATGATGTAGCCTTAATATGGAGAGCCAGTTTTGCAAAAACTATCATTGATGACTAAACCTACTGTGTATTTTTCATTGCAAAGTGCCAATGGACAATGAGTCAAAATATTGCATGATAAAATTTTAAAGAAGTCAATAGACAAACTGGGATGAAAAGGAATATAAGCAAAGCCATGACCAAACCCAACCTGGAAAGCAGTTTCCTTCCAAGCAAAAGTCTGCACCACTCTGTTCTTCATCAAGATAGTAGAGAGCTAAATGAGAGTCACAGCTAAAGCTCTTAAGCAGCCAGAGGTCAACATTAAGTCATTTCCTGCCTCCCAGTTGCACTGTGGCTAGAAATTTTTGCTAGTGTTTGTTTATATTCATCTCATTTTTAAGTACTACAAGAGAAGCTGAATTTAGTTGTGAGGTGCCCGAGAAGAAATCATTTTTAAAAAAACATCCTTTGACACATTACCAACATGGGGTATAGATAAATGTGTTAAAAACAAAGTATAGCTCTGCAATTAGGTGTTCACTTCCAGGCTTGACATAGTTCAATAGCCTTTTGCAAAGGAATAAAAGCCTGTTGAGCAGGGAACCAAAAAGATCTCAATTATAGGATGAAGCCAAGCATATTAAAGCTTTGTGCACTAGTACTATGTCTAAAAACAGCCTGCTGTTTTAATATTGAAGCATACATTTCTTAACTTGGTAGGTTGCAGTGTAAAGATGTACAGAAGCCTGACTGTGGATGCTCTGCCAATTACAGATGTGGCAGAGTGGTGTCAAAACACCTACAAACAGTATCGAAAGCAATCTTAGAGTGAAACAAAGAAGTTTTTGAAATGTCATCATCAAAAACCTAGAAGAAAGCAAGTTCATCAGATGTGATGAACTCTTAAAGAGTTTAAAATCACCTTTATTATATAATTTAATGTGGACATCTATGATCCCTCAATCAAAATGCACAAATTTTTTTAAGGACGTGAATAGTGTCATCTAGGATAAGGAGAATATCTTTTAAAAAGTAACAACCTTCAGAAGACAAGGGGAATCATCTGATCAGCTGTGTAGAAAGTGTGGTTTTTTATTTGTGTTGAGGTGAAAGAAAAGAAATGAAATTACCCCAAGAATACATACGTTCACTTAGAATTTATGTAGGTCATCAGAAAGATAATTGGGCATTAAGATTTTACGACAATTACAATTTAGTTGAGAAGTTAACCATTTTGCAGCTTAACTATAATTATATATTCCTGGTTAAATAGTAACATTAAATTGCAATCCTAAACCAATTTAGATTCTGAGGCATATTTTTTTATCTAATTATTCACAAATTATGAATAAAATTAAATTCCAATCACTGAAGAAAATGGAAGCAATGGGTGAGAACAGAACTACAGATTAGTTAAAGCAAAGATATGCAATGCATAACAGAATTAAAGTATTTCTTTTATTCAGACTCAGTGCTTAAAAAAGAACAAATCCATCATCTTGAAATTTGACTTGTAGCTTGACATTAAAAATAATATGAGTAGAATTTTCAGTGGGGTAAGCACAAAACTAGTTCAAGTTGTGTCACTCTGCTCAATTACTGTACTCAGGTGGTGTACCCATTAAAATCCCACTTGTGGGTTCTACTCACTATGCAAATGGGGTCATTAACCTGGAGAATTTAATTGGTTATGACACTGGGAGTAGGACTTTGCCTTTCAAAATAAACCTACTTACACACATTTTTACTAGAAATTTGATTGTTATATAGAGTTTGGATTGTTTGCTCTATAAATATTTACTAAAGTTAAACTGCCCTGACTTTTTTAACTGCTTACAGGTAATTCAAAATGGATCCAAATTACTTGATAGGTTTTGTTTGTCTGTAAGGCTAGTTACAACGAATGTTTTGTACTACATTGCTTACAGAACATTTTTAAAAGAAGTATTTGTATCTTTCAAACCACCCATCACATGTGGCTGTATTTCCAATACGAGTTCTTCATCACTTAATTATAACATTTTCTCTTTCATAATAGTTCTAAGTACTGGAGCAGATTCTTCTTTTTTTTCTTTCTTGTCTCACTTTAAAAGAGTGTACAGTTAAAAGTTACATGCCCTCTTAGATGAGTTTGTACAGATATACACACAATATTGCTGAGGAAATGTGTCTGTGATAACATTCACAAGGCCTTTATATTTACTAATAGGATAGAGTGGGGACATAAAGTTATTTGTCACAGTCAGTACTAGAGACACTTCCATCATGAGGCATGAAACTGCTGAATTTAAAATGAACAAACAACAAATTGGTGTAAAAAGTACAGAGCTCCATAAGAATACCATGGGTTTTCATT